GCATTGATTCCACAAGGTGCTGATAGGTAGTCTGAGGTATCTGGTACCAAGCGCTCACCAACTGGTCCTGCAATTCCCTCACATTGCGAGGGGGTAGCGTGGCAGCACGAATTTGGTTTTCGAAGTAGGACCACAAATACTCTATTGAATTAAGGTTAGGTGAATTTGGGGGCCAAGACATGACTTGAAAGTCACTGGATTGTTCCTTGAACCAATCCATGACGATTTGACCCTTATGACATGGTGCATTATCCTGCTGGTAAACACCATTTCCCGCAGGAAAAACTGTTGCCATGAATGGGTGAACCTGGTCTGCAACTATGTTCAAGTAGCTTAACGGACGTCAGGGATTGTTCTATGAGGATTATGGGTTCTAATGTGCCCCATGAAAACATAGTTCCTGGGTGAGAAACCATGAAAACCTGAGCGAGCCCATTGTTATAGATGGAGGGTGGTCATAATGTAATGGCTCTTCGGTGTATATATATAAGCTTGGATGTATATATACTGAAAGATTTATATATATATAGCAGCAAATTATATAACTTCTAAATTGGTAATAAAGAACGGAAGTTTTGTACCTGGTGATTTTTCTAAATAGTTCATATCTGTGTGGTGTTCTAAGTACATTCCCGTAAAAGCAAGATGTTTAGGATCATTTTGAACAGGCTCACATTTCACGTCAAAACTAGATCCCCATTTAGTTTTCTTCACGTAAGCAACTCTTTCCATGACATTGATGACTTCACCTGTTCGACGTGGAACACCTAAAAATAATCAATAAATAATATTTAAGTACTAAATTTTTCTTAAAAAGAAACTTCGTGTTCACTTCACTTAAAATATGGAATTTTCTATTCAAAATGAAATAGCTAAATTAAACAATAAGGAAACAGGCTTCCTTCACAAGTATTTTGAACATTTAGAACAATATTTTTTTTTTCGTTTTCATCCCTACAAAAACTATAATTCAGCTCATTTTATCAATTTCAGCTTATGAACACTCCAAAAAACAATTTCAGAACTAGGCTAGATGCTGCTCCGCAAACTCAACTGTTTAACATAATACTTAATTTTATTTTTAATATTAATGCTGTTTCGAGTAACACTTCGACAATCCTAGCTCACCAGCCATTTTATGAATTAAGTCAGGAAGTTGGGAATTTCGTTTGACAAGAGTGAACGGCAAGGGGGAAAGAACGTCTTTGTTCAGAACCTCAAGGATACATGGCAGCACCACTCATGTGTGATACCACTTTCTCAATTTCAACATAGATCTAAAGGGGAAAGAAATTCTCTTCAGAAACCCATGGTACTTCTCAACCAACCACAGGTTGGTTGATGAAAGATTCCAAATATTTTACAAACACGTTTTTATATTTTATTTTATAACCGTCGTTGAACAGCCGAGCCAATTTTGGGCTTACGACTACTAATGTTCAACTCCGTAGCATTGTAATTTCGAACACAATCAAGAAGACAAGAAAACTCCTGGATCAAGTATTGGGAGAAATTTGCCTTCGTTGAGGACTTTTTGATGGAACTAGCCCACATGTGCGTTGCATGGAGTGGAATACCACAAATACCTCCCACGGTTAGCCTAACGGCAAGGGAAGTCTAACCACCTTTACTGAGGATATTTTACGCCAGCACTGTGGTCGGTGCGAGCGGGTGCAGAGTTCGAATCGACCTGCCATTTGTGGGATTCGAACCCACTTCATCTAATTAGAAGAAGAACGCTCTATCCCTCGAGTCACCATGACTCTACAAGCACGTTTATCGCATGTTCTGGGTAGGTCTTGGTGGTATCGAGGATCGAACCCTAGTGATATTATCAATAAGACAATAAAACATTCTCATTCGCCTTAACTTTTTTCACAATAATATTTCTTTCTATGATTAACATGTTTAGTACTACTAATGAACTTCTCTCCGGGGTTCCATCAAAAGAAGGACGATCTTTTAGGGTTCCATAACCGAAAGGATTTGGAAACCTCTGCTTATGTTATATTAAGTGCATCAAATTTAAAAAGAAACGTGTAGAAATAACCTTTCATTATGGCCAATCCATACTTGTAGATGTTTTCCAACCATTTCTTGAGACCTTCTTCGGTCTCCATTACTTCTTCGTAGTTCACTTCAGGTTTTATTTGCTGGATGGTGTCTCTGTCCCAAGGAATCATGGCAGGTAAATTGTCATCATGAATGCTCTCATGACTGTCTAATTCGAATCCTTTTCCATACTTATGCAACCTAAAAAAAAGGTAAAAGAATGATAACTTCATAAATTGTATTGGCGTAATCTTAGTTTAAATAATTACCATTCGAAAAATACAATTCAATTCGAGGCTCTTGATTTCAAAATCAGCTGAATTAGTTTTCAAATACAGTAGGGAGCCAATTATCCGGAACGATCGGGACCATCGCTATTCCGGATAACTGATTTTTCCGGTTTTCTGAATCGATACAAAAAACCGTTTTAACCCAACTAAAAAAAAAAAAAAAATAGTTGGAAATAATCTTAAAAAAAAGAAAAAACGATGAAGTAATACACTAATGATTATTTCCAAAATGATGGTAAGGTAAACATCTTTCAAAAAAGAAAGAAAAATCCTAAAATCTTATGAGGAAAAAAAAATTTTTTTTTTAAAAAAATAGCGGGAAAATTTATTAAATTTCGTTCCGGTTTTTTGGTTTTCCGGTTTTCTGATTTCCGGATAACAGGTTCTGTACTGTATAATAAAATAGAGTCGTGCGGGCTCAGGGGATAGAGCGTTTGCCTCTTAATGAAGTGCCCCGGGTTCGAAACCCAGTTGGTTGATGCAAATTTTGATTCCGGTTTGCGCAGGCCACAGTGCTGACGTGAAATATCCTCACTGGTTGAGGGATCATGGGTTAGATCCCCTGGCCGTTGGGCTAACTGTGGGAGGTTTTCGCGGTTTTCCACTCCGTCCGTGTAACGCGAATGCTGATTAGTTCCATCAAAAGTCTTCCTCGATGGCTAGATAGTTTCAATGCTTGATCCAGGAGTTCCCTTGTCTTCTGGGTTATGTTCAAAATTACAAGGCTATGGAGTGGAGCATCGATTGTCGCAGACTCAAAATTGGATTGTTATAAATACGACTGTTATAAAATAAAATTTATTAAAGTCAAAAACTCTTCGGGAAGCCGGGTTATTATTAAATAACGATATTCAAAATTGTTGAAAAAAACATCTTATGTTTTAGGAGAGAGAAAAAACTAGTTTCTGCGTACGCACGAAAAAAGTTAAAATTTCAAGTGATATTTATTTGCTTATTTAATTATTTTAAAGATAATAAGGACAAAGGTAATAAAGAAAATGAGGAAAATGATAATGATGATAATAATAATAATACCAGGTAGGATCATATAAGCTGACGTGATCTCCTTCTGTGTCAGGCCATATTATCTTAAGCATTCCCTTCTCAGTCAGGTGGTAGGATTTCGGCTTAATGTTTATATCCAAACTCACAGTATCCAACATCTTTTGTTTACTGTCCGGGTGCACACACTTGCTGCATTTGCAATTATCTCGTAGCTGGAAAAAAACGGTGGATTAATTAATTCCAATTTTCATTCACAATATCTGGTCGTAACTTAAACGATTCGTCAATAAGAAATTATAAAACCCATACTCAAATTAAACTATAAATTAACTTTTCGGAATCCATCAATGCTGGTTTTAAGTAAATGCATAATAAAACTACAATTTAAAGCGGATGGTTCATTAAACAATCATGCCCCTTACTGAAAAAGCAGCAATCTCGTGAAGAAATTCGAAACCAAGTCCATAGAAAATAACTGGGCATAAATATATGTTCTAATTGTTTTTTTAACCCTTTCCGGAACATTAAATTTTATTGAAAATGTTAATCAGGCTGGACATTAGCAAGTGCCACATTAGGCTGTACATTCTAAGTAAAGTGACATACTTTAGCTCTTTGTTTATAACCGTCGTTGAACAGCAGACCTACTTTCGCGTTTACTATACTAATTTTCAGCTCTTGCAATTTCAAACCCGGTCTAGAAGACAAGGGAACTCCTGACTCAAGTATTGGGAGAATTTGCTTTCATGGAGGACATTTTGATGGAGCTAACGAGCATTTGCTTTGCATGGAGAGGAAAACGACGAACCCCTCCACGGTTAGCCTGACGGGAAAGGGACTCTAACCCATGATCCGTCTACCACTGAGGATATTTTACGTCAGGCTAACTGTGGGAGATTTCATGGCTTTCCTCTCCATGATACTCAAATGCGGGTTAGTTCCATTAAAATGTCAATTTCTCTCAATACTTGATCTAGGAGATCCCTTGTGTTCGGCATCGGGTTCAAANATAACAACAACTACTAATAACAATAACTAAATAAACAACAACTAAATTCCATTCGTTTAGCATTGCGTCATATGTTGTTCCTACTAAATCGAAGTAGTTGTGTTTTTTTCATATTATACCCAATTTCGCGTTTTCGACTTCTACTTTTCAACTCCGTAACCTTGTAATTTTGGACCCAATCCAAAAGACATGGGAACTCCTGGATCAAGTACTGGAAGAAATTTGCTTCCGAAGTGGACCTTTTGATGGAACTAATCCGTATTTGCTTTACATGGAGAGGAAATCCACGAAAGCCTCCCATGGTTCGCCTGACGACAAGGGAACTGTAACCCATGATCCGTCTACCACTGAGGATATTTTACGTTAGCACTCTCGTCGGTGCAAGCCGGATGCGGAATTCGTAAAGACCAACCATTACTGGGATTCGAACCAGGTTCACCTCTTTAGAAGGTGAACGCTCTATCCCTTAAGCTATCATGGCTCTTTAGCTCTTCGTTGTTTAAAAAAAATAGTTGTTGCTAAACGTTTAAAAGCAATTAGTTCTGCATTTTATAGTGGTTTGTAACATTTGTTGAATTAGTGTTGCCAGACTGGCTACACTGCACAGGAAAGAATTAAAGATATTTACGGTAGACTTAATAAATTGTTAGACATATCTCTTATAATTTCACCATTAGCGAGCCTAGAACGAAAATTGAACTATGACTAAATTCGATTGATCTATATTACAGGAGCTAATTATTGATTTTTGACCACGAGACCGTGATTTCTGACGAAACTCAAAAAATTAATAAAAAGTCATCAAAATTTTTGCTATTATTTCTAGTCTGATTTTTTTTTAATTTTTTTTTTTATATAAAATCTGCAGAAAAAAAATTCCTGGAAACTTTTTTCGCTGCCTGTTTTTAAAATCTCTAAGAATGTCCCTCTTTAATAAAAATTTCTCAAAAATAAATTTAAAAAAAAAAACTTAGAGAAAAAATACAAACAAACAAACGGAAACACTTTTATATTAACTCTATGTAAACAATCTTTCTTTTCAAAGAAAATGATTTGGAAGATTTTATGTGGCAAAACTGTTGGCCCAATTTGAAAGAACGAGCTTGAAACTTCTAGAATTGATGTCATTTTTATGCATGCAAAATTTGAATCGAACAAAATAAAAAGGAAATTCATTATTTTATATTAATTTTAATACCATTAATTTTGATTTCCTTAATAGAATTGTAATATCTTTATCAGAATGCTTTTTTAATTGTACTGGTATTTAAAAAAAGATATTAATTTCAAATGCTCATTTTGGTCAATGCAAACTTTCTACGATTAAAAATTACACAACTTCCAATAGCTTTAAGCTTAATCTTTCAAAATGTGAGAACAGTTTTGCCACTAAAATCCTTCAAAAAATTTGCTGCGGGATTTTTTTTTTTTTGCAAAGAGTTAATATAGAAATGCATCCGTAATTTTATCAACCCTTGTACATTTGTTTTGATCAGTCCAGTCCCTGCCTATTTATCGATTGGTTTTGCCCCCCCCCCAAGAAAGTATAGAAAAGTTTAAGAAGTTGTTATCAGAATTATCATGAATAATCAGAATGACATTTTTTTTTAACATAAATGTATATGTGATTTTTCTCATTTTGAAGTTTTTACCGTAGATTAAAACGTATTCAAATTGCAATCTATTTTATATTTCTTTCAAAATTTTACTATTATAATACATAACTAAAAATTTTGATGTCTTATAGGAAAAGATTTTGCCATAGACTTCAACTCTTTTCAGATCCCACCCATAGAGTCTACATTAACACATTGCTAGCGGGTCTCATAAATGTACGTTTTTGAAAATTCTGCCATCCATGCAAAAATTTAAAAATGGGTAAAACTACTTTGTTTCCTCTCTGTTTTTCAAAGAAATTATCCATTCGTGATTATCACAAACGTAATTGATTGAGCCGTGATGGCTCAGGGGATAGAGCGTTCGCCTTCTAATGAAGTGAACCGGGTTCGAATCCCAGCGATGGCTGGTCGATAAGAATTACGCATCCGGCTTGCATCAACCTCACTGTAGAATATCTTCAGTGGTATACAGATCATAAGTTAGAGTCCCCTTGCCGTCAGTCTAACCGTGGGAGGTTTTCGTGGTTTTCCTCTCCATGTAACGCAAATGCTAGTTAGCACGAAGACGAATTTCTCCCAATACTTGATCCAAGAGATCGTGTCTTCTTGATCGGGTTCAAAATTACAAGGCTACCGAGTTGAACATTAGTAGCCGTAAAACAAACAAAAAATTGGGTCGGCTGTTCAACGACGGTTATAAAATAAAATAAAACATAAATGATTTAGTATAATCAGCTCTACAATCGTTCGTCGCAATTTTTTTTTAAATTGAGGTTGTAACTATAGTGACAAGTTAGCTCCAACTTTTATCATATCTTGCCTACCACTTTTTCAAAATTTTAATTTAAAATTGTTGTAATACATTTTTTGGAAAACGTGTCCGCATGCAGTGTGTTAAAATTCAAGCCTTACAACTTCAAAGTAATTATACACCTCGTATTTTTGCCTGCTAAGTACAATTGTTTCAACAAAATCTTCAAAATAGATTTAACTTCGATTCTTCAACTAAGTGTTATTATTAGAATTATAGAATTAACATTTTTAAAATCCTATTATCAAGCTTAAAATTGAAATCAATGCTTCGATTAATCTCCATGATAATGTCTTTTTTAAAAATAATAAGACTTCCATCATTTGGCAAGCATGAAAAATATAAAATGTCAAAAAAGAATTTATTGGAATAAGTAAAACCTTTCATTGATTAATTTAATATTGAAGATTTAATTGATTACTGGACTTTAAATAAAATAAAAATTATTGTTATTTAAAAATGAAAGCTAATAAAAAGAATAAATTTTAATTTTTAGACTTACCAAGAAAGAAGGAAATACAAAAACATTTTCACATGTCTCATTTACCTCTTATCAACAATACGTGTTGAAAACAAACAAATTTTGAAATGCAAAGTTCTAGACGTCACTCAATCGACTCGATAAGAAAATAAATATCAACAAAGAGGGTTCGCATGATGTTTTAGTAGATTTTTCCAGCAAGAAATGGAAAATTTTAATCATTTTATACGTCCGTTTTTAAGACTTTGCGGGCAGAAATGAGAAGAAACAAATGTGATTTGAAATATAAAACGTAAAGTTACCACAGGAAAATTTAAAAATAAAAATGCGAAATAAAACAAGAAAAACCATGATAGCCTAGAGAAAAAAATAGGTTGTTGTTGTTGTAGTTCATTTACGTCGCACTAGAGCTGCTAAATGGGCTATTGGTGACGGTCTGGGAAACATCCCTGAGGATGATCCGAAGACATGCCATCAAGAACAAAGTAGTCTGNTGGCACCCCCCGCTTCGGTAATCCGATGACCTGCACGCGAAGTCGAGCACTTTACGGTAGAACAGTTTAACGAGGACCCATACCGCACACCCTCGGTCCCTACGCAGACTGATCCAAGTGGTCACCCACCCGAACACTGACCGCAGCCAGTGATACTTGACTTCGATGATCTGTTGGGAACCGTGTCTTAACGATCAGTCCACTGCGGAGTAAAAAAAAATATGAAAAACAGAAGAAGAAAAACCACAATGGCAGAGAGAAACAAATCAGGGTAAAATGCATTTCCACGTGCTGAGGAGAGGAGGCGAGGAACTAATGTCATTAATAAGGGAATCAGCATTGAAATGAATAAAACAAGATTCCAGAGCATCAAGGTGAGCTGATGTGACTGCGGTGGAAATAATTTAGGCATTTTTGAAGTTGAATTGTAGCCTAAGATTAGAACAATGTGAAGTCATTATTGATTCCTCGTATTCTTTTCCTATATATACATATTAAAGTGAGTGAAGATTTTTAATCAGAAAATCTTCTACTGCTTCAATTTCATGGGATTATTTATTTAATATTTTTGAAATGTTTCATTTCTTTACATCTATGGATCTGTTATTATTTGGCGAGATTTCCGTATTGTGATCTGTGGCAGAATTATCGCCAAGTTTTGGCAACTTCAGGGCAGCCGTCAGCTAGAAACTAGAAAAAAAAAATCACAGAACGGAGCCAACTCGAAAAGTATAACTCGTAGCCACCCTTGGATAAATATCTACAAGTTTTTTTTAATGAAATTTGCAAGTTTAAAATCTATTTGGCTCCTTGGCGATTGTAGTTGGCGCGACAGATCACGATATGGAAATATCCCCCATTATTTAAAAATAATTTTAAATAAAGAATTGCTTTGAGTGGATTTTCTTTACGATGCTTACCCAAATGAATTGGAAGTCTGATGCTAAGTTGTCATGGAAACCAATTTGTAAGGATTGATGAGCTGTTGGAAAAGTCTTGGTGATCGTTGCTGGTTGCTTAGTATCAATGGCCGCAGTTACTCCAAAACGAGAACCTTAAAAAGGAAATGAAAATATCTGTTAGAGAAACGGAAAGACAACGGTAAATAAATATGTGTTCAGAGACGTTCAAGCCCGCAATTATAAAAATAAGAAAAAAATTATAATGTTTGTTGCTGACAATAGATAACTTGTAAGTTCATTTATGCCTAGAATTTTTTTCATAAAGACATTTCTTCTCTTCAAAAAAGAAATATGTGTTCCAACAAATAGTGTATATAATATATGCAATATATATTGTATATAAATGTACGTAATCCATAATATTTAAATAATATCAAAATTATTATTTGGATCTGAAGTTGAAGCACAATGCTATCTTGAAAAATTCGTATTTTTAAAATTCGATTTCTCAGATACTATTCGACCGATTTCGCACACATTTTTTTAATTTGCCGTTTAAAATTGCTTTCCTTAAAATAATGTTAAAAATTTTATACCTTGTAATTCAACTTTTTTCAGACTATTATAAAATAAAACAATAAATATTTAATAGATTTAATATTTTGCAGGGAATTATCTTTGGATAAACGAATTTTATAGCTGTGTTCAAAAATTTTTCAATTCGATAAAATACTCAAAGAGTATAATTAATATTAAAGAGTCCAAACTTTGAACCGTTGTTCGAACCACACTATTGAGACCACATTTGACAGATTGCGGCTACCCCCTATGTTTTGGGGATCAGCGAATTATATTTTGAGCAATTTGAACAAATTTACGAATAATGTTAAAAAAATATCATTTTTTACTCTATATACAGATACATACCAGTTATGTGTAAATTTCGATCTGTCTTGATTTTGAAGTTAGCAGGATTTAAAATTTTTCGAGTTGAGTTTTTTCCAACAAGCTTGCAAAATCCGCTTAAAGCTTTAAGACTCATGGTGAAGCTAGAAAACTTAAAAATTACCTGAAAAGAAAGGTAATTTTTGGGAAAAATACGAAATCAGTAACAATTTATCACAAATTTACTTTCAGAACAGGAAACAGCTAGAAAAAAAATTAAGTTACACAAGGAATTGCAACAACGTTAACTCCTATTTTAATCCTTTCGAGAGCGCTAATTTACAAGATTTTTACTCTCGGCTGTAGTTGGTAGCATTAAAAATTTATAAGCTGAACTGAAAAAAAAGTCAAAAATAATGCTTTCCTTTATTTAAAAAGATGCTAAACAAGAGAATGGATAGTTAAAAGCAGCTGGATTGGAAAATCGCTCCCGGCATGGAGCAGCAAATTTTGACTAAATTTTAGGCAGCTTGTTAGCCACCGTGTTCGTAGTTCAAAAATTCCAAGTAAACGTATGTACCTGAACAGATATACCTTTTTTTTAAAAAAAATATTTGAACAGATATTAGTATTTCTCTTTATAAAGTAGTGATGAAACGTGCGTATAAAAATAAATTAGACCAGAAATATATTGAGTTTAAACAAATTAATGGACCTATTAAGAAGTAAATATATATTTGCTCTGAATTTAAACAAATTAATGAAATCTTTATCAAATAAGTATATTTTTGCATTTATTTCTAAACAAATTAAAGGAATCAGTACCGCGTAAGTATATATCTGTATTGAATTTAAATGAATTAATGGAAACATTACTATGTAAGTATTTATTTGCATTGAATTTAAACGAATTAATGGAATCATTACCTCATAAGTGTATCTGCATTGAATTTAAACGAATTAATGGAATCATTACCACGTAGTATATATTTGCTCTGAATTTAAACAAATTAATGGAATCTTTATCAAATAAGTATATCTTGCATTCATTTCTAAGCAAATTAATGAAATTATTACCACGTAAGTGTATATCTGCATTGAATTTAAATGAATTAATGGAATCATTACTATGTAAGTATTTATTTGCATTGAATTTAAACGAATTAATGGAATCATTACCTCATAAGTGTATCTGCATTGAATTTAAACGAATTAATGGAATCATTACCACGCAAGTATATATTTGCTCTGAATTTAAACAAATTAATGGAATCTTTATCAAATAAGAATATTTTGCATTTATTTCTAAGCAAATTAATGGAATTATTACCACATAAGTGTGTATCTGCATTGAATTTAAACGAATCAATGGAATCAGTACAACGTAAGTATATAGTTGCATTGAATTTAAATAAATTAATGGAATCATTGCTTCATAAGTTTATATTTACATTGAATTTAAATGAATTAATGGAATCATTACCTCGTAAGTGTATCTGCATTGAATTTAAACGAATTAATGGAATCATAACTATGTAAGTACATATTTGCATTCAATTTAAACGAATTAATTAATTTATTACTTCATAAGTGTATCTGCATTCAATTTAAACGAATTAATGGAATCATTATCGCGAAAGTATATAGTTGCATTGAATTTAAGTAAATTAATGGAATCATTAACATGTAAGTATATATCTGCATAAAATTTAAACGAATTAATGGAATTATTACTTCATAAGTGTATCTGCATTAAATTTAAACGAATTAATGGAATCATTACTTCATAAGTATATAGTTGCATTGAATTTAAATAAATTAATGGAATCATTACTTCATAAGTTTATGTTTGCATTGAATTTAAACGAATTAATTGAATCAGTAATACAAAAGCTGCATTTAATTTGATTGTATATAAAATAATTTTTAAAAATATTGCCTACTCACCTAATTCTTTCTACCAGAGGTGTGGTACGGAAGAGATATGGCCAAGACATAGAGATAAACGCGAAACTTATTTCTGTTTCTTATCATGTCTTATCACTTAAGTTATTGATTTGCGTCCTTCGCATAATTACGCTCATTGGGTTTATCTTATCATACCTACGTCATAGGAGCTAGTCTAAACCGCTATAATATCTAGAATTTATGAAAAACATGTGAAAACATAAATGTATATTCCATATAGATAAAAGATTTTTTTTTTCAATTTAATACTCGACTGATAATATTTTTCGAAATGTAGAATATATTTCGAAATATAGAGCTACCAAAATATTTTAATAACTTTAAGTAAATACATTTACGTCTGAAACTTACCAAACATTAACTACTTTAAACCTCATCACGGCCTCAACTCCAGTTTCAGCTACAAATCTCAATTCAAATTTCAACTCCTGATTCAATTCTAAATCTAAAATTCCAATTCTGCAAAAAATCTAAATTTTAAGTGCTGCGACTGTTCAACCTGCAAAAAGAATAAAGGACGTTCCCTTATGCTGATACTATACTCTCATCTACAAACAAAAAAGTTAAATTTTGAAACAAAAATTGCTTCTTCCTATGTAATTTCCTCGAGCAAAGCACATGAGCCTCATCTACAGTCAGCAAACCTAAGTTTTTGAATAAGCTGCTTCTTATTATTTCCAATTATTTTAATTTCCTGGAGCAAAAAGCTTGAACTACTTATCCAGCAATCACACGGACATTCGCGGCCCAGGTGCCCAGTTCCAGAGCACTACAATGACTATGACCGAAAATTAACTCTACGCAGATGACCCTGCAGTAATTACAAAATCAATAAATCATATCTAAGCCTATTACCAAATGCAAAAGAAAAATCAATGAAATTGAGGCCTGGAGCGTCAAATGAAAAACTAAATTACATCCAGATAAAAACCAACTACTACTACTTAATAGCAAGAAAAAAGGTCGTAGTATGCATAATCTTAAATTATATTATTAAATTATTCATCCAATCAGAACGCAAAATACCTTGGCATTACTATAACATTAAACTTTAATTGAAGGAAACACATCAATAAAATTGTGACGAGGTCGTGGTCGCTCTTGTGTTGCCTTTAGCAGTCAAGTGAATACGTTGTACGTTATGTGTGATCGAGACTAAGTAGCAACAGTACAAGGAGGTGGAATAATGTCGCAGTCACAAAAAGCAAGTCAACTGTTCTTTGTTGACCATCTATAGAAGTAGGCGTGTTCAAATCGAAGTGGAAGTTTCTATCAAGGTAGGTATGTTCACATCACGTCCAGGTCACCAAAGTCAATCTTCATCTATGAAAAAGTACCCCAACGAAGGAGCTTGAGCTAAGATGGGATTCGAAGTACATGTCGGCGAAGCGGACACTCCACTTCTTCATCTGTTGTGATGCCCGTAGGCAACTGAGATACTGTCCATAGAGAAAATATCAAGTCCTTATTGGAGATCAGCATGTATTGGAGTTGTGGATCATCATTCCGAAGGGTAAGACCCCTTGAGTAAAGTTTGAAGTAATCCGAGCACTTCTTGGTCTTTCAGGATTTCCTGCAGTTCCTTAACGATGGTGACTAGGCGATGAGCTGCAGTAGCAGGTGTATCTTTCCCAACGAAAGATCGAGTTAGCATGTCTTATATACTAGTGAATTGGAATTATATTTTTGTAGTGGTAGATACACTAAAATATCATTAAAAAAAGTTTTTGACGCCTACAGTGCTCTGAACTCTATTTTAAAAGCAAGCTCTTCCCTTGATCTAAGACGCAAGAGAACTATCTACTTTATGGCCATTACACCCATACATCCATACGCATGCCCTGCCATTACTACATTCAACGATAGCCTCGAGAATAAGCTTTCAACTACTGAAGGGAAAATACTTAGAAGGATGGTGGGTAGATGCATCAGCTATAATAAGCCTGAGGACTGACATAAATATTGATGATATTAATTCGTAAATCGAAAAAACTAAACGTCAAATTTTACGATAGAGCCAGCGAATGTACTTTGATCTCCTTCTCGATACTGACCTTATTTTATTTTTTATTTTATAACCGACACATTTTTTTATTTTATTTTATATTTTGAACAGCTGACACATTTTTTTGGGGTTTACGAATACTAATATTCAACTCCGTAGCCTTGTAATTTTGAACCCAATCCAGAAGACATGGGAACTTCTGGATCAAGTATTGGGTGAAATTTTGCTTTCGTGGAGGAGCTTTTAGATGGAACTAACCTCGCATTTGCGTTACATGGGGAGGAAAACCACGAAAACCTCCCACAGTTAGCCCGACGGCAGGGGGAATCTAACCCATAATCCGTTTACACAGAGGATAATTTGCGTCAGCACTGTGGTCGGTGCAAGCCAGATGCGGAATTCGCATCGATCAGCCATCGCTGGGATTCGAAGCCGGTTCACCTCATTGGCAGGCGAACTCTCGATCCCCTGAGTCATCGCGGTTCATATTGGCCTTATTGAAGACAATACTAAATATAGTCTCATTACGGCATTTTTTCTTAGGTGGTATGGCGTTGTCCCTTTACATTCACCACGGCTCATTAATGTTAATATTAATTAATTGCTGATTAATGTTAATATTAAAGTAACATACACAATAACACCACGACAATTTATCAGCGATGGCTGGTTGATTCGAACCTTGCACCCAGCTCGCATCGACCACAGTGCTGACTCAAATTTTTCTAAATGGTAGACGGATCATGGGTTAGAGTCCCCTTGCCTTGAGGCTAGGCTAACCTTGGGAGGTTTTCGCAGTTTGCCTCTCCCTGTTATGCAAATGTGGGTTAGTTACATCAAAAAGTCCTCCACGCAGCCTAATTTCTCCCAATACTTGATCCAGGAGTTTCCTTGTCTTCTGGATTGGGTTCAAAATTACAAGGCTACGGAATTGAACATTCGTAGTCGTAAACCCAAAAATTGGGTTGGCTGCTCAACGATGGTTATAAAATAAAATAAAATTTATCGGTTCCGTGGTATGCGAGCAATCCTTTTAGGGTCGCTGTCACGGGGTTGATTAATTGGTAATTTTTAGTGTGATGATGTTGTTGTTGTAGTTCATTTACGTCGCACTAGAGCTGCACAATGGGCTATTGGCGACGGTCTGGGAAACATCCCTGAAGATGATCCGAAGACATACCATCAAAATTTTTAACCTCTGCAGAGGGGATGGCTCCCCTGCTTTGGTAGTCCGACGACCTACACGCGAAGTCGAGCACTTTACGGTAGAACAGTTTAACGAGGACCAATACCGCACACCCTCGGTCCCTACGCAGACTGATCCAAGTGGTCACCCACACTCACACTGACCGCAGCCAGTGATGCTTGACTTCGTTAGTGTGATGAGCAACCCAGAAACGAATGGTATTTGCCAAGACTCCTGGGTCACCACTTTAAAAGAGCCTCTGACTTAGTAACTGGTCTTTTGACTGTTACTACTTTTCTTTTGCTAATTCAATTTTGATCTTACTCCTTCAGCTTTGTGTACATATGCATATAGCTTGCAAATACTATCTATTAATCTAAATTTATTTTGCATATGTTTTCTCGTATTAATCTTCACTTGTTCTTGTTGTGTACTTAAATGTCTTGATAATTTTATTAATATTTTAATTTGCCATTTCGTATTTTTCAAACTGTACTCACAATACGACACCGCCTGTTATTTTGCTTATAAATTTCCCCTATGGTGCCTCCTTCTAATGTACTTCACATATTTTTCTATAACCTACAAATCATCACAGACGGATCAGTTAATGCTCGGCTATGTACTGAGATAGACTCTATTTCTGATATTCCACTAAAAGTTAAAAGTCTTAAGAGGAAGCAAAACACACTCTGTAAAAAATGAATACTGAAATATCACTAAACTTTTTTTGTTTTTAAGGAAACTGTTTCCTAGTATACAGGGTTATTCATAATTCCCTCCGGGGTTTCGAAGCGTTATAGTAAAAAAACGAAGACGGATATGGCAAAAAAGAACGTATGAATTATTCCGAAAGTATTCAAGTTTTAATTTAAGCAGTTGCCGGTAGATGGCAGTAACATATACCACTGAAGCCAGTTGTAGTAAACATAAGATTGTAGTAAACAGAGGGAATTATGAATAACCCTGTATACCCCGAGCAATATTTCGTCAAATTGACGTAACTTCACTTCTTCGAGGTGATTATAGAATTTCTTCAAAATGAAAAAAAAATATTTCGTCTATTTAAACGTGAAGATTAGGTTGTTATATAAATGCGACGGTAGGTTGAAAAGGGTGCAAATGAATACCTCAAAATTTACCTCAAATATACCTTAAATATACCTCCAAAGGTATAAATGTATCAACCTGAGGTGAGATATTTCTGTGGACAACTAGATCTGTGGAGATGTAAATATTTACTACTTTAAGGTGTTTCGTTTTCAACCCTAGGTTATTACTTATTATCCTGAAGTATATTTTTTTTTTACACCTGTAATTACAAAAACAACCTAAAGTGTTTCATTTAACACTTTATGTTATTCTGAATCTACCTCAAGTGTATTTTTTTGTAGTTGTAAAGGTAATTTTTCACTAACGTGAGGTGTTTTACCTCAGGTAAATTACATTTTAACTTCAGGCATATATTTTTATGTTAATAGAGGTATATTTTTATCAACTTAAGGTGTATAATTTTACCCATCAAGTTATTATTGATCAACCTCAAGCGTATTTTTCGACCGTTGGATAGGTTGTTTCTTATGAACGTGAGGTGTTCGATGTTCTGCTTTAGGTTATTATTTTTCAACCTCAAGCGTGGATTTATATAGTTGTTAAGGTATTTATTTATCTACCTGAGGTGTGCCCTTTGAAACTTCCGGTTATTATAAATCAACCTCAAGTGTATTTTTGAAACTTGGGAAGGTTATTTTTTATTAACGTGAGATGTACCATGTTCTTCATTAGGTTGTTATTTCGTAACCTCAAGTATATATTTTTGTATTTTTATAGGTATTAATTTAACGACCTAAGATGCGTCATTTTACACTTCAGGATTTTATAACTCAACCTAAAGTTGTTTTTTTAATAGTTACGAAGGTAATAATTCAC